AAAAAAACTGAAAATGAAATTCTCGCACTGAACTCACGAGCGATCGCTTCAATTTTGCAAACGCACGCTCATTTCTAACCTTTTTTTGTTATTGTTTTTATAATTTTTTTCTCCTTTAAAATTGAGGCATGAGATTCAAGGTAAATTCATTGGATGACTCGTGAATTCCGCGTTGAATTCACAAGTAAAGCCGATATCGCACTCATCGCTTCGCGATTCGTGCGATATCGGCTTTACTCGTGAATTCAACGCGGAATTCACTCGTCACCCAATGAATTTACCTATAATATTCGCGCGGTCAACCTTGGAATTTCTTGGAGAGAAGGGAGCGACTGAAGTTTACCCCTTGGACGTTCCGGATTTAGGTTATCAGAAAGATAATTCCTTGATGATTAGTCCAATTTCAGTACAGTGCGTTTGATTCACAAGTACAATAACTGTTCTATAAGACGATTGCGATTAGCGCCTTTCCAAATAAAATCAATTGACATAAAACTAAGAAGATCTTTATAAAGTACGTTTATTTGATTGATATCTATGTTTCAACATGACAGTCATATTTATCATAGTTAATAGAGGGGACTACTTGTATTAACTATGTATTGATTGAAATCATCGCAATATCGTAATAGATGACAACTTTTTACTTTCCTCGCCTTATGATTGGTTGATATCCGTTGTTTTGCATTGGTCGAATAAGTTCCTGATATCGCTCCTGAGTCACATTGGGATTCTCTAAAACACGATAATAGGGCGTTTCAACGGAAATATCCCTGACCTCTCCTTGTGGTCTTAAAGTACTAGAGACCAATGACGTAACCACACCCTCTGGAACGGTGTAATCGTAATCTGATTCAAATGCCTGGTTTGGACATCCGTCGGGCGCGGCGCATGCGTAGACAGGCTCCGTTCTATTGTCTTCTAAAACATGATAGACTGGCTGCTGATTAGATGGTCCCTCTAATACGTGATATACTGGCTGCTGATTGGTTGGACAGGTATATATGTCTGAATATTAAAGAAATGCAATAATTAGTATAACAGCAAGAATAAATTTTAATTATATGTAATTTATATAATACACTTTGAGTTCAACAAAATAATAATCTTGTGCTTCAACTTCGTGTCGTCTTTTTTATAATCCAAAACTTGTTTTTGCTGCTGTTGTCATTGACTGGCATTTAAATAACGATGTTTTAATATGTCAAAACTTTCGAGACGCCCCCTATCTTGGATACATTTTAATCTAAAATTTACTCACCCTCATCACAGTCTACAATACCGGAGTCTCTTTTAGTGTCACGTGACTTGGACTCACTGTTAAAGGGCTTCATTATTACTATATTCCCTGGTGTTGAGCTGATAAGTCCGCCATCTTGTTAAACAAACAACGAGAAAAATCGTATTTTGTGAGGACCTCCTATAAATTATCTCCACGTGTTATCCTCTCACTAAAGTTGTTGTTATTATGTAATGATTAATAAGATGAACGAGCGAAAACCACATGAAGTTATAGTGCATAATATTGTGCACGCGATTAATTTAATGTTACCCTATTAGCTAGCGGCCAGAAATTTTGTTAGTGATTGTGTATATGTAATGCAAGCTCAATGTGAGCGCTCTTAGAGCGCAGTCTAACTTGCATATTTTCACTATTAGCTCATGCGCGCACAATACTCAAGTTTCGAATTGACCGATACTCTGTGTTAGCCTCAATATGTGCAAAGTATTCCTAATTGTAAGCATAAAAGTATGAGATTTCTAATAAATTTTATTTTCTTTCTTATTCTAGCAATGAAACAAAAGAATATGTTGCTTGGTTTTGATGCTACTACATGAGAGCGAAAACCAGAACTCAAAATTTGAGGAATAAATGAGACAATGTGCATGTTAGATTTTGAGCATATGCTGTGCTCGTATAGCTTACTTTGTTCATTCTTTCGTCTCCTGTAAAAGTACACAATAAACACAGCGCACGTTGCCAGCAAAAAACTGCTAACACAAACTGAAATGACAACTGTTGTGTTGACACGTGACTCGGCCTGCTGCGGTCCTGCTGTTGGAATGGAATTAGCAGCGGTTGTTGATATATCCTAAAGACGAGCACAAAAAGTTAGAAATAATACAATAAACGAATTGATTGTCCATGAGGCAGTATTCACCAAATTATAGAGCCGGCAAATTTGAAAAAAAGACAATAACGATCTATTAAGAAGTATTATACCCTACGAGCAGAGTGTATTTCCTTACCTCAATAAAATGTTTATTGAGGTAAGGAAATACACTCTGCTCGCAGGGTAGAAGTATTATGTCATAAGTAGCGATAACAATTGGAATTTTTTGCTATATGGAGAAGAGTTTTATACAAGAAAAACAAATATATTTGAACACTGGCTTAAGTGACTCAAGAGAATTAACTTCGTTGAATTAAAAATGCATATATACACATTATAAATAGTATGTTTTTGCACTTTGTACTTATTGCCAGATGACGTCATTGCACACCTACCGCTGCATTATCCAGAGTCGACTTGTATATTTTTCCTGTAAATGGACGTGGGATAATTTTTGTAGGCTTTTTGCTTTTAGTTTTTGTTGATTGCTTTACTGTATTAGTGGTTGTTGTATTTGGGATTTCAGTGGCTGCGGAAGTAATGGGTTTTGGGGAGGAAGCAGCAATAATAGTACTGGTTTTTCGTGTAGTAATTGGGGTATTAATGGTATGTAGTGTAGTACTAGTAGGTAGTGAAGTACTGGTAGTTGATATATCACTGGTAGTTGATACAGAAGTTGCCTCAGTACTGTAAAGCGTTGTAGTTTTAGAACTGACAGTAGTTGTTGATGATGAGGCTGTAGCTGTAGTCGTGTAAGATGTTGTGCAAACGTGACACGTTTTCTGGCAATATTTCTTTACGTATGGGTTCGAAGAGCACTCGTTTACCCATGTAGGACACTCTAAGGGCTTCAGATCTACACAACCTATAAGGAAGATTCTAGTTACTTGCCCGTGATCATAACAAGGTCGCTAGAACTGAAATTATGCCCTATATCAGCTATATGGATAAATTCAGCAACTTCTCGACGTTGAAGATCCAATAGGTCATAATTTCAATTCTATAGCGACCTTGATCATAAAGTCACAATTTTAAGATTATAATATCCAGACATCATAATTAACATTTCTTAGCTTCGTCATTGGGTGTGTCATTGCATGCAAAATTCTCACTATGATGTCATGCAATCGGCTAATGTCAAAAAAAATGGACAAACTATAGAGACCTATTTTTCTTAATTGACCGCTGACTATATTAATTCCAAATAAAACTTTGCAGCTCACGTCGACGTCACATTTAACACTTATTTACTGGAACCGAGGGAAACAGTATGTTTTGTGGTCCCGAGACCGCTGATGTTTCCCGAAGCGAAGCTGAGGGAAACATCAGCGGTCGAGGGACCGCAAAACATACTGTTTCCCGAGGTTTCCAGTAAATAAGTGCTTTATTATCATATCAAGTGTCAAAGAGMGCAAAAAACGTAAATAAATGAAGTGTTTTTATTAAAGATTTTGATAAAATGACTGAAAAATGGCAATACAAATAGTCACTAAAATCAATGAATGTAATAACACAATGAATACTAATTTAATTATTTGTAGACGAAATTAAATGTTTCAAAACAATTTTGGAATTCACCGTCCGTAAATGTGGCATTTTCACGACACTGAAGAGTGTTTTTCTGCGATTTTGTACTTATTGACGGTCCACAACATATTATTGACCGCTGGTGGACAGTTGCCGGGAAACAGTAAAATTTTGTGACTTTCACGTGGTACACTCTCGACCAATAAGATACTAGGAAAAGTGAACTTTGACACTTGATATATAATAAAGTCATTTACTAGACTTATTCCATAAGTCGGTCCCAGTTCTTCCCTACGTCGATTTTCTTTTTTTTCTTTTTTTTTTCTTCTTTCTTTCTTTCATTCTTTTTGTTGTTGTTGTTGTTTCTGTTTTCTCTATCTTGATCGAGTAGTTAAAGTTAAACAACGGCTTATGTAATAATTCTAATCATTTTAACTAGCAACTTACCGTGTGCCGTAGTTTTCAGTGAGCAATACCCACAGCTGAGTCTACAATAGTAACGCATATAATTTGGCCTTTTCGAACAATACCCACTTTTCGCCCATCCTGGACATCGTCCACTTATATCAGAACAAACACCTTTGAAAAATATAATGCAATATCAATACAGTGCGCACTGTAGCATGAGCTGAAGAATCATGAAAAAGTAGGTGTAACAACCGACTGACGTTTCGGACGTTAATCCTTCGTCGGAGTAAAGAAATGAAACTGGGATAAGTGTGAGTTTATATCATGAAACGAGCAAAAAAATAGACCAAATAGAAGCAAGGTAGGCACACACAAAAAATGGAAACGAACTTTTAACTCTGTTAACTCAAACAACAACTACTACTACTTCTACCACCTATTTTTGAAATGAATCTGTAGAAAACCATATGCGCAACCGAACTACGTACTGTAATACACAATGATTGGACAACAGTTCATCTTAATTACGGCTTACCTCCAACGATTGCAGACGCTGTAAGCGAGGTTGCTGTTGTGACGTGATCGTTATCTGTTGACGTGGTTGTTGGTGCTGTAGTAATGCAACTTTGGCAGCTTTTTTTGCAATACTTTTGATTCTTTTCGTTCTTACAAGATATATAAAGATCCAAAGGGTTGAGCCATTCGTCGCATTTAGGATGATCAACACAACCTTGAAAATGGAGAAAAAGTGTGTATGCTATAAAAATAAATGTTAACCGCCATATCGTACTCTACTTTTGCAAGCGTTATTGGTATCGTTCATACGTACACATATTACCGAGCTAGACGAATAAACGTCTGCAAATGAGGCCAGCCACATCATAAAAGAAGCCAAGACAGATCAAAATTAGTTTCAAAACTTTGCATTGAATGAAATCGCGGACAAAACTCAGTTGAAACAATCGATGTGAGTATTTTGTTCGATCAGTTATTGTCTCTGATCTTCCCCCTCAAAGAAATGTTGAACACACTGAACATTCATGCACAGTCTCCCATTAACCCGGCACCCAAACCAACATTGATTTGTGGGGTCAGGGGAGTCAAAGAAAAAAATCTATATTTTTATGGACGTGTGAAATTTGACTTCTTCATTCAACAGGTTTTGTCCGAGATTTCGGAAGCGTATCTAAACAAGTGAAAGAACGAAAACATCCCGACATTTGTTTACCTCCCATAGTTACAAAAACAGTTGTCGTGTTAACACTATCGGCTGTCGTCAAGGGCGATTCTGTCGCAGTAGTTGTCAATGGCGTCGGCGAATGTGTGCAAAGTTGACAAGTCTTTTTGCAATTATTACGGTTTCTGGGATGTTTACAGGATATGAAAAGATCCGTAAAGTCCAGCCAATGACTGCATTTAGGATGGTCAACACAAGAACCTTAAAATCAATTAATGATATCCTATATTAGAAAATAATGACGTCAACAATAGAAATCTAAAAAATAACTACATTTTAGCTGATATAACATAGGATGCATAGAAAATATAAACTCAAAACAAAACAAAATAAAAAACAAGACAACACGAAGCAGCAGAAACCCAGGCAACAGAACTAAATTACAGAATGAAAATGTTCCATGTCGATTCCTGTTCTTATGCAATATATAACAACTGAGCTTGAGCAATGTTTGCCCCATTTAAGCGGACCATTTATTTGCAATACAATCAGTTGCGTTCTACTCAGAGATTGAGAAATTACATGTTTAGGGACTGTGCAATAATTACCAGGAGGGGAGGCCCGTAAAACCAGAGGGGGGGCATTACATAAAGTTGATGACAAGATAGGAGGACTCAAACATGTCAAAGTAAAATTACCTAATTAACAGATGGGGGGGCTTAAGTTTTATTCAAAATTTTCATTATTTTCTTAAACTCAACGTAAATAACAACCATAATTGTAGAAAATAACAAAAACAATTTTAACTGACAATTACATGTAATATTGATATTACAACACTGATCATTTTAAATCTGCTAGCTAAAGCTTGAAACGAAACGTACTAATGGAAATCTAAATTCAAAGACTCGTTGATGGGGATTGACCAAGATATGATTTTTAATTTTTTTTTTCAATTATTGATTTTTTCATTTTATCACAAAAATTGAATATGTAGAATAAGCTGAAAAACATCTTGATGATTTGTTAGACATAACAAGCACAAGTAACATCAAAGTCGTTTTTGGCCATAAAAACGTTACATAAGCCTTATCTTGGACCTTGAAAACCTTTCCCAGGAACAAATTCATACAAGTAGAACTGTTATTTAGCAGAACAGACCCCGTCAGCTCTTCCTGAAAGTTATTGTCTTTACACTTAGGTCCAGATGAGTAAGCCACCTCTTGCATCTGGGTTCGTCTTTAGTGAATTTTGCGTTGCTACAGTTGACTCGACTCGCTTGTGCTTGTTTTATAACTAAGGTTAATAGGTCTGACGTTATTTCTAATATAGCAGGGGGGGGGGGGGGGGGGGTTCTGTCTAATTTTCAGCTTAAGAAATATGGTTTTATGCCCCCCCCCCTTTGGTAATTATTGCAAAGTCCCTTATGCATGACAGGCCGGCCGCGCTCTCAGCGCTCGAACATCCTGCGCTTCCCATTATTATTAAAATTCATAATTTGTTATTGATATCAAATAAATCAATAAATTAATAATATCTGTTTTGTGAGAACGTAACTAAAGTTAATTTAATTAAATCCGTTAAATGGTTGTCGAGTACGGAATTGCGAGGGAAAATGCATCTCCAAAAGAGTTCAAAATTTTTGATAATTAACATTCTAATAAAAATATATTTGCAGTTGACAAAAAAGGTTCACCTACCTTGCAGTGAATTATGTGGCTTTGTTTTCTTCTTACCTGCTTTCCTATAAACTTCGTTGCTGTTTACAATCAAGCACAGCACAGAGAATAAAACCAAATCGTGTAAAAGTTGTTGCATGCCGACTCTTGTACTTGAGCAATTGCTCTCCTGAATGTCACAAGTTTAAAACAAATAGCTCAAAGGCTTTAATTAGTTCAGTAAAGTTGTTTTGAAGAAAATTATCCAAGTCTTCAAATTGTGGTAAGTAGTTTCTTGTTCGTTTGAATTCAAGTAGTAAGAGCCAAGAGCAAACTTTGCCTGAACTCCTTCGTGTTACGCTTTCTGGAAAGATCTACATGCCAATGAATCGGCACTTGTACAGGGAGTCAATCTATAGTTCACTTGTTCAAATTCTCAGACATTCACGCGAACCGCAAAAAGAAACTTTCCCTTTCGTACTTGAGGACCTCCTCTTAGCTCGAATTGTTTCTTTTGATAGATCAACAAGTCAGGGCGGATTATGTTATTGACAATTTCGATTCATTGTCTTTCAACACTCTGATCCACTGCTCGTCTCCGCTGAATAACTTAATTTTCCGATTAAAAGAAAAAAGAAAAAAAATATTCAGATGTACTTAGAGATACTAAAATATTCTCATGAACTATCGCGAATATTTGTCCCCCAAAAACTTGTAGTTGTTCAAAGTTTTGGCGTTGTTGCCGTTGACGTCATGTCATCAGATTTACTGGTCCAATGAAAACGAAGCCAATCTTCATAAATCCATTCGCGGATTCAAATATTGTACTCCAAAAGTGATAATCTTTCAAATACGAAAAGAAAGAAATAGAAAGAAAGAAATAGAAAGATTAATTATTGGCGACATTTAGGAAAACGAAGTCTGTAAACAAAATAAATAAAACGCTAATCCCTTTAAAAATTTCATATTGCGTGACCTCCGATTTTTTTCTTTTGCTTGCTTGTTCAAGGAAAGGTAAGTTTAGTATTAATTTACTTATCTCTCTTTGACGAGAGTAATAAAGATCTTTATTACACTTTCAAGAGCAACATTGTGGGAGGACCAAGTGTGGTAAGCTCATTCTGGTTCTAGCCAATGAGTGTAAGTTTATAAAACAAGACTTCTCTCCATACACTATCATACGCTCAGTTCCTAAGAATCAACAAAACAAGTGAATAAAGGTTTATTACGTGATTTATAAAAATCGATAGTAGTTTTAAGAACAAGAATATGATCTGAAGTCCCAAAGCCATGTCTGAAACCAATTTGATAATTGTTCCAAATGTTATTAGATTCTAAAAAGAAATTCAAACGTGAATTTAAAATAAGAGTAAAAAATTTCGCTAGACAAGAACCTGTGGCAAAACCTTTGGGCTGGCTAGGTTCTTCGTYAGTGATCTTATTATTCTTGGGAGAAATTGAATGTCTTTCCAAAAAGCTAGAAGGGTATCCGTTCTCAAGGAGGGCGGTGGTAAGATGGTCGTGCTCAGCTTGCTTCACATCATCATCGGACAAAAGATTTTCTTTACGATGGACTAGAGTTCGTACAACTGATGCCTTGTATGAAGAAGGGTGGTGGCTAGTGTAATCCAAGTATCTATCAGTGTGGGTTCGTTTTCGGTAGATTGATATTTTGATAGTACCATCTTCAGACACCCTGTTAAGCGTGTCTAAAAAAGGCAGTCCACTATCAGCGTATCGTTCAATGGTGAAGTCGATGTTGTCCTTGTCCTGTTCTTTTAGGTGCTTGTGGAAGTCATCGATATTGCTCTTCTTGATAACACAGATTGTATCATCGACATAACGTTTGTAGATTCTAGGTGGTTCAAGAAACGTCGAGAGAGCTCTAGATTCGATCACTTCCATTACAAGGTTTGCGACAGCTACAGATATAGGTGACCCCATAGCTGTACCATGTATCTGCCTGTAGTACTTGTTATTATAGCTGAATTCAGTGGAATTTAGACAAAAAGACAGTAGCGAGGTTATATCAGACGTGGTCAAACGTGTTCTATCATGGAGACTTGGATCCTGTTGTAATCTAGATCATTAGCGGCAGTGACAGCTATATCAGTTGGTATAGAGGTGAACAATGAAACAACGTCAAATGAGACAAGTTCCTCGTCACAAGCTAATGTTAGAGTACTGGCTAGATCTACCCATTCCTTGCTATTCTTRAGGTGTTGATCAGAGTTACCCACTAAGGGGGATATTATTTTGACCAGCTGCTTCGAGAGTTGGTAAGTAAGGGAACCCACATAACAATAGGTTTTAGTGGTACACCGTCCTTATGTATTTTAGGCACACCATACAGTCTTGGGGTGTTCCCGTCTGTAGTAGATAACTGTTTGTAAGCTTCCTCGCCAAGACGATCCTTCATTTGCAATAGCAAGCTTTTCATTTTGGTCTCACAAGATTTTGCTGGGTCATTTTTCAACGGCACATAGGTTTTTGTGTCATTCAACATAGTCTGGAGCTTTCTGTCATTTCAGTTTGAATGCGTTTTTGTTTTTGTAACGTCTTTGTGTTCCCTGAAGATGACCGCTTAGGTCGAAAGCTTGGAAAGAAGTTTAAATAATTCATGGTTGATTAAACAAACTACGTATAAATATGAAAAATACAACCAACAAAGATCTTTTAAAATTTGATAATTGTTCCAAATGTTATTAGATTCTAAAAAGAAATTCAAACGTGAATTTAAAATAAGAGTAAAAAATTTCCCTAGACAAGAACCTGCAATTTAAGAACCGTTTAGCCTAAAAATATTAATTTAGACCCCATTTACATAAGAACCTATTTAGCCTAAAATTTGAAACAGGTTCTTATAGAAAGGTAGAATCATAGAAGTTAACCTCAAAAATCTTCAAAATCATACTCAAACTTTAGTGAACTTGAACATGTATACACTTCTAAATTAGGTATAAATAATGTTTGAAAACATTAAAACCATTTACATAAGAACACGTTTAGGCTAAACTTGAAAAAATGGGTTTTTATAAGCGGGTAAGTACTTTATCCAATGAAGTCTTCCATAGCAGAATTATAAGCACAAATTTTCCTTCATTTTGATATATGTGTATTATTTCCTATTCTCTGCAGAAACCTTACCAATGTTTTGCTTATTGTACCCTCCTGCTGCAATTATGTTATTAATAATTAAGATCCTTTATTGATAGGAAGGTTTATTATTCACTTTTCGCTTGACACTAATGGCGAAGCTAAACCGTTGCTTTATTCCTTGTGGATGGTGTTTTGCAGTTATGACGATTCTCTTGCCCAGGATTCAAGGTACCTCTTGCTTCAGTATTGTTCTATATGCTATACCATATACCAGTTGAATATCCCGTAAGCGGACACCCTTAAGCTTGGGAAACATGTCAGCAAGTAGAAATGTCCGTCTCATAGAAATGGATCTTAAAACGGCTAAATAACGTCAAATATTCTTGTTTAATAGTCAAAAAACATTCCTAATGATTAACGTTACTATTAAGAAAGTGTGAGTCAATGGTTAAGCGATATATTTTACAAATACTCCTTCTAGTCACGTTGAAAGAACTTTTTTTATGGTCTCTCTAAAGGCTGAAGGCCAGTGGAAGTAAGAGTTACTGTATTTTTTTACCCGTTTTCGCAAAAATTGCCACATAAAAAAAACGCCAAAAACGAAACAAACTCTGGGATCCTGCGGAATACCACGTCAATGGTAGAGCAATATAATTTCATATTGTTTTTGTCCTGTTTGTTCCATACACCCTTATCGTAAATTCTTTTAATGTCCTGTGTGCAGACAAAGTTTTTAAAAAGAGCGAGAAACACTGCAAACTTAGGGTGTTATTACGGGTAAGCGCATTAACAGAGGAGGAGGCTATGGACTAGAAGTGGCAGGTGATTATCACTTTATCGGCGATGAATTTTCGATAAATTGGCTCAAATCCAAACTCAAGAAAGAAGGCCATACTAGTCTTATCATTTACAAGCTTGTTAAACTGAAAACTTATTATTGGTCTCAAAAATAGATCAAATGAAAGTTATTGAATTAAAGTGTCCGCTTACGGGAGATTGAAAACAATAGAAAAGGTCACTTGGGAAACGCTAAAAGTATCCGCGTCCGCTTACTAGAAAGTCTGCTTACAGTAAATGTCCGTATTTTGGTATTGTATGTTTGTTGTAGTTTATTGAACGCACATAATGTGCTAATGAAGGTTTGAAAACGTTAATGAATCTGCGACCAGTTATGCATGATTGTCCATATCTATGCTCTTGAAACTCCCTAAGCGTTAATGAACGTTCGTTCGCGCTAAAGACAATGCAGTTTCGCTTGATTGAAAGTTCCTTCGAGGTTAATGAACAGCAAAAGGTGTATTTGCATGCATTTGATGTTACAAGTTAATAAAGCCAAATTTAAACTACAAATCAGATAGAAAATTATATTTTTTAATCAAGTTTAGTTGATATTCTTCTAATTGTTCTCAATTGCATGGAGTGAAGTAGAATGTTCCTCCATAATTCTAAATGCGAAAGTCCCGCTACAGAAAGTCACGCATCACAATACTAAACACGTGTGCCTGGTTACCAAGTGGTCGAGTGAATGACGGTCGAGTGAAAGTTTAGCGTTCAAAAAAAAATTCGAGAGTTACCAAGCGGTCGAGTGAATGACGGTCGAGTGAAAGTTTAGCGTTCAAAAAAAAATTCGAGAGTTCGCACTCATTTGAAATCGGGTGTAATAGAAAGTACAAATACAGTGTTTGTATGGGAGGAAAACGGAGTTTTGAAAAGCTGTCCGTAAGTAGAACTGTCCGCTTACGGGAGCGTCCGTAAGTAGAGATTCGACCAGGATTCGACTGTATACTGTTAATTATACTTTAAAGTCCACCTCACCCAATTTTTTTTACAGTTGGAAAAAAAAGTTTAGGAGTTATAAACCACAAATTCACATAAAAAAAAAATTCGAATTTCCAAATTTTATATTTTTTTATGCTCGTTTAATTCGGCCAAATGATTTTTGGCCGAGTGCGAGGGAGCCTGGGTTGATGACGTAGACGGAGTAACTCGTCCTTCGGTAAATACAAAGTTTACTGTACAAGTTCCACATATTTCATTACAAATCTCCCGGGGGGGGCACTCGACCCCGTTTTGGATAGGTACGTGCCGCCAGCGGTCTAAATCCCTGACCCTGTTTAAGACACTAAAAAGTAAAAATCCATACCCTGTTCAAGACAAATCGGAAAAATAAGGAATAGCTATCTACGCCGCAACCATCAAAACTGCAATTATACTGACATCCATCAAAGACAATAAGAAGTTTTTGATAACACGTTAATTCTGGGACAGTGAAACGGTATTTCTACGGTGTTATGAAAATATTACCCTGTCCAAGACACACAAAAAAATTANCCTCACCCAATTTTTTTTACAGTTGGAAAAAAAAGTTTAGGAGTTATAAACCACAAATTCACATAAAAAAAATTCGAATTTCCAAATTTTATATTTTTTATGCTCGTTTAATTCGGCCAAATGATTTTTGGCCGAGTGCGAGGGAGCCTGGGTTGATGACGTAGATGGAGTAACTCGTCCTTCGGTAAATACAAAGTTTACTGTACAAGTTCCACATATTTCATTACAAATCTATGTTTTCTAAGACTGAACGTGGGATAATCCAGCCTGAAACGGCAAATCTAATGCTACTAGAGATTATTCTGACGATTTGAACGTTATTTCATGTCTTGGCTATAAAAATGGAGCCAAAGTGTTGAGAGATTATTCTGGACAAACAAGTGTTGCGTATAGATCTAGATAAATATCGAGGAACAGGAAAAGTTATTTACGGCCCCAGGTAAGTAACTTCTTTCAATATATGTAGGTAGTATTTACAGCTGTTCAAATTCCAGGTTCTCTTGTTTCAGATTTGATTTTTACTGTCATTTCACTGTAGGTATCTATCGTTGTCTCTCGAACGACTTACTCCCTCTACGTCATCACGAAGACATTGATCAGGCACACAGGAATCCCGAAATTGGCTTTGTCCGCGGTTGTTTTCGCTTCAAAATGTAGTTTAAATAAACGAAATCAAATTTGTTTGTACAAATTGTTGTTACTATGACAAAAGTCTTTTCTTTACAAATATAAAAAAAATTGGGTGAGGTGGACTTTAAAGTTTCTAAATTAAAAATGATCAATTTACAAACAAACTGTCCTTTTAAAAAGTTTGTAGATTTTATGTACATTCTGTAAATATCTCGTACATTTCATTGCATATATTTTATCAAAAATTGTAAATATATTATAATAATTAACAAAAAGTAAAGTAAATTGATCAGCTTTTCCAGTTTTTGTCACATCAATTTCTTAGCGCTTACTTAACTAATAATGCTTTAAAGAATGTTTCTGAATTAAAAGCATTAAAAAGGCAGTCAAAAATAGGACAGGACAGGAACAGCTTGATATCGATGTATCAATCAGTTTTAAGCGCACCGTTTTATATTTAAGAAATATTATATATTGCAACATTTTCTTGTGCTTTCTTTTGTGTTTCCGAATCGTAAGGTGTCTTGCGTAACTATGCGAATCTGCTGTGAAATAAAGCAGCGGTTATTCGTTTTGAATTCGAAAATGGAATATTTAGAAATCACATGCTATCGATGCTTTAAGCGTGGATTTCACTAGCGCATAAGCTTATGCGCATAAGCTTATGCGCTAGTGAAATCCACGCTTTAGTTTTTATCACCCTAGCTCACTGGTCTTGAGTTATGTTGACAATATAAAATGTGCTTGTATTGCAAAACCGCAATGCTATTGAAACATGAGTTAGAGAACAGGTTATTACACACCTATATTCAAGGCAACAGAAGTATGCTTAATTATAAGTTTTAATTATCATACGATCTTCATGCTAATTAATGTCTTGATGGAAGGCTTTTGAGGTCTCGTTTCCATAACTCGTCACTAGAAGTCTCCCGATATTCTGAAAAGATTTGCTTATCCGGTTTGCGAACAACTCTTTCCTGGTCATGGTAACGACGAAATGCTAATAAAGCCCAAGTTATACTTTCTGCTTTTTTAACCGATAGAGGATAACATCCAAAGCAAATTAAAAGAAAATATTTCATTGTTAAAAAAGTTTTTCCGTCGTCCCTGAGGATAATCTCTGCAATGAATATGAATTCCCTCACCCTCAATGGACGCTAATGATATCGACCATTTTTTTTATCTTTTTTATTTTTATCGACCAGGTTATGGGGGTTGTAGAAACCTTGAGTTTCTCGAATGTCTCAACAATAAATCATTCACTGGTCACGTGATCAAGTCCCTCGAAGTCTTAGCATCGGGAGAGGATGAATGTCAGTCGCTGTGCTTTCTTGAAGGTCAATGTGTCTCGTACAACTTGGGTCCAGTAAAAGATCATAAACGAGCGTGCGAGCTGAGTTCATCTGATCATTGGACATTCCCTGATGCTCTTAAAGACATGAAGGGCCACGAATACTGCCCTATCAAGGTAATCATGATTCAGATGGTATTTGTGAGTCCATGAGCGCTAAACGATATACATATATCACAATCTTGTTTTACAGAATCAATGTTCATCCAAACCTTGTCCTTCTAATAAACCGTTTTGCTATCGTGACTTGGCCAGAGATGCCTTTATTTGTAGAGGTAAATTAAAAAATATAACTATTTTTTTCTTGTCAATAAGAAAATGTATCATATTGTAGAATATTATCATATAGCTCGCTATACTAATCGGTAATCAGATATACACCTTTTTCAACAAACGTTGTCCAGGAGAAGATTGATATTGCATCTGATGACCGAAAAAGACTATTGTTACAACATCCTGTTGTTTGGTTGACTTTATGGAAAAATAATGGAGAAATTGATGCTTGATGTTTACAACAGGCTATTTTCCAGTATACATCAGTTTTTATCTCCCATTAACCCTATTCAGACTGGCCTTTTTTTTTCAATCTGTGACCTGGGGGGGGGAAGGGCTCATTCGGCCTCCTCTCAATATCTTCGGAAATAATAGGTCTATGAGCATGAAATTTTCACACAGTGGTTGCCCACGTAACCAAATGTGACGTCATAATGACGTCATTTACACCATTTTAACGATTTATAATTCATTTTAATAAATTGCCTACATCTCTTTCACAGATGGTCAATGGGGTCAATGGGGACCCTGGTTCTGCAGCTGCCCAGCGCAAAGAGCTCGGTTATGTGTCACTACCGCTAACAACCCCGCAAAGGACTGTGGTCCTGGTGAAGCAGTGGAGGTCAATCAATGCGATTCACTTCAAAATGAGCCAAGTGAGTAGTATTTTGCATGACGACATCACTGTCTCCGGGCCAGAACTCTCTTAAGACTTGTACTGAATGGTACTATATAATTACGACGTCACATCAAAACGCTTAACGTTAAGGATTATGTTCGCCAGATGGGATTAGAATGAGTGCATATCAAATTAAAGTGTACATGAGCAATCTGTAGAAAACACAATACCTTACAGTTCTACATTAGGAGAGAATATAAATGGATCCAAATTTCTACCAGGCGAACGATTATCATATCTTCGGGAAGGTAGTGAATCTTCCGTATTGACTGCATGAACACGTCATTTTATTCAAAAGAATAAGTTCACCCTTTCTTAGCTGCAGTTCTAATGAGGGGAGTTCTGTAATCAAATGTACTGTAATGCATGAAATGAGTTCTGATGAGTTTTTATCTGATAAATATATTATCTCCACTAACAATGACCAAAATCAGCGCTTATTGTTTGTTTGTAGACTGTGTTCTGTTTGACTTTGAATTTGGACGGCTAGACGGTTGGAACTTAACAGGAACAGCATTCAACAACCAGCCAACTTATGGTGATAACATCGCGGCTCGTGGAGGTGGTGCTGCTAACATGAAAGGCGATTGGTTCATTGCTACATACGATAACCGACCCAATCCATCTTATCCAGCAGGCGGTCGACAAGGAGATAGTCACGTGGGTTCTGCAACTTCACCGCCATTTGTCATCCTCGGGACAAAATTGAAGTTCCTGATTGCTGGAAATAGAGATAAAAAGAAATCCCGTGTCGAGTTGTTGATAAGAGGAACTGTTGTTAGAGCAATTGCTCCACCTAAAACCGGTAATGGTATGACCGAGATGGAGCTCGATATAACTGAGTTTAAAAATCAAGTTGCAAAGATACGACTTGTTGATAACTATTCAGGAAGTTGGGGTTTTATCAACGTGGATCATATTTACCTACAGAAATAACTAGGGAGAAATCAAACAACTTGCTAGTTTAAATATTTAAAAAAATACTTGTCAATAATTGTTCGTCTGGAAAAACTTCCATGTTGTACACCCAACCACAGAGCAGCCCACCCCTTGCATGCTTTTAAGCATATTAAAATATTGTTCATTTATTGTATTTAATCCATTATGAATATATTGATGAATATACACAAGTTTATCGAAAACAGTTAGAGAAAAGTGCTCTTTGCTTACTTACTTTGCATGAGGCGCACATTGTATTTGTGGATTACCTTTAATATTACGTCAAAATCCCGTACCTCGCTGTAAACTAGTCTGTGACAAGGTATGGAACACTGGTCACGTGATGATTCGATGTCTACACCAGGTAGATGGGCAAATTTTCGGAAAGCACTCGACTTTTTCCAAAGGTTTCGTGAGCACTTGTGGGTGGTTAGGGTTGAAACTAATAAATGAATTTATATTTCTATCATACAAGAATGAAAAAACCAGTGGTAGAGAGGCGTGATTCATCAAAGCACACACGCGCGCATATGGCATCAGGAGCGTCAATGATGTGAATTGAGTTCGGTGACCGCTTTTTCATAGACGCGTCTATAATTTTTAGATTATTTTCGATCAGCCACTTTGAGYAACTACTTCCGGTGTTACACGCTTGCAAGAAATCCGCGGGGAGATCAAAATGCAATAATAAACAAAATAATTGAAGAATAATGAAAAATAAATATCTTCTAGTCTTTCTAAAGCAATGAATAGCGTAAAAAATGGAAGAAAGCAAAATCTAAAAAATATCATGATAAAAACGCCGTGAAACTTCTCACCCTTAAGTCCCGAAGTATTGAGTTCTCCGAACTTGACGTCAAATTTATTCTTTTGAAATTTTTATAATATAAAGGAATTCAAAAGAATAAAATAAATTTGACGTCAAGTGCGGAGAACACAATACCTCGAGACTTGGTTGTATAAGGGCATGCAGCATGCTCCATGAACGGACTCCTGACGCCAATGAATCTTGCGAGCGCTTTGATTGGAAAAAAATAGAGGAAAAATATCATATAAAACAAATAGATGCCATTTTTCAGTTAAAATGTGATGAGAGCGACATTCACTGTACTCGTCGACTTCGTCACGTCATCTCAGTGTGTATCTATTATAGTACAGAAGCACGAGAGAGAAAAATAGAACCTAGTCATTATAAACTTATTTCAAAAAACGTTGTCAATGCCAAGACACAGTCTACACCATCACACACCAGTCTTGAGCCTGCAAAGAATCTCGGGATTACATATTCTTTCAGTTATCGAAAGATATCGGTCTTACAGCAAAAATAGCTTTGAAGCTCATTGATGGTTTAAGAACATATAACATTTATCAAGGAAATGTCTCATGGCGGCACGTGTTCGATAGGTTAACAACCCGCAATAATATATGAGTAGTGTCGCAATATAATTCATACACATAGGCAAATGTATTTAAATACATTAATTACGCATGGAAACCCCGAGATTCTTTGCAGGCTTAAGACTGTGGACTGTGTCCTGATGATGACAACGTTTTTTGAAATAGGTGTATATTTGTATGACTTAGCGTCCAGGTTCCCGGGTTGGTTGTTCGATGAGTAGGTAAAGTTATCCACTCCATGGATTTTTTTGGGGATTTAAATCGTTGGATAAAGATTCATTTCATTATTCAGACTTTCAGACACATTTATTAATTTTCATATTTAGAGCATCTTATCATTTAGAGAATCTGTAAATTCTGCAATAATGCGTGCTTTCAAATAGGACTAAAAATAATTTATTAAAATAAAATTGTCTGGAAAGTGAGACGTGGATAACACCGCGCATGCTCTTCAAGTAGGAATAGTTGGCGTTCAGTAGGAATACTGTAGGCTGACAAGACTCTGGGTCGTATATTACATACTGATGGTACATTTTGACGTTGACGTTGTTGTTGTCATTTACAATTAAACTCACATTTTTCGTTTGCAGAAAAATCTATACTAAGTCTATATATTTCTAATCTAAAATTAGTTGTATCCTTTTTTCGTGGAGGGATTATGATGAATTTTTCCAAACTTAAAATCGTTCTTTAAAAAAATCATTATCAACTAAGATTGATTGATTCTTGTGAAATTGTGTATATTTGTGCATACTTCAAATTGATGTGATTCTGACTCTTCACAAAGTGGATGCTTTCCTTTCATGAATAGGGAGCACATGAATCCACTCTCTTCTCCCCCTACCCCCTCCTTGTAGCCTAGACACAAGTCTAACACTACTCCACTGATTGGATGTGATCCACATTAATAAATCCCCAGCCTCCTGAACTATCATCAACAATACGAAGTTGTGCAATTTGATTACGAAAGGAAGACACATCGACTTCCATCTCCTTCATACTGTTACCGGTCCCATCAGGTGACATTGTTTTGACTACACGGCCTTCAATTAACAACTCCATGCGGGAATTCTTCGGAGCATCATTTCCAGAAATCAGGAACTTTAGTTTGGTTCCCATGATTGCAAATGGTGGTGATGTTGCAGAACCCGTTGGACCATCTCCTTGTCTACCACCTGGTGGATCAGAGGGGCTGGGTCGCTTATCATATGTAGCTATGAACCAATCTCCTTTCATGTTTGCTTTCCCACTACCACGAGCCATGACATTATCACCGTAAGTTGGCTGGTATTTGAATGCTGTTCCTGTAAGGGTCCAACCGTCTAGTCGTCCTGATTCAAAGTCAAACAGCACACAGTCTACGAAAAGGGAAAAAAATAGTTCATCAACGATTGAAGTTGCTGGATTTTACCATCTGCAGAGGAAATAGTCTCGTATTAGTCATTCACGGACAGAATAAGCACATGTGGATAGCTTAGCGAGATATTCAAGGCAGCCACTACTTATCACCATTCTTCAAACACACAACAGAGAGGTCTTTTTAACCCAATTACTAAATTGCAGGCATATCACTAGGTTCAACTAGAGTTTCGCAAGAATTTAATAAATGCATAACCCTTATCAACAGCGGTATATGATTATTAGTGTTTGTGTTTCAGTCTTGGAATGGTATCCCGTATTCAACGTTTTCTGAACTATCTTTTCACCCTTTAAATAAGTCCCGAGTTTTTGTGTTCTCCGCACTTGACGTCAAATTTATACTTTTGAATTCCTTTTGTATTGTATAAATTTTAAAAGAATAAATTTGATGACGTCAAGTGCGGAGAACACAATACCTAAGGACTTATTAAAAGGGTGTATATATATGGCACAGTATGCCACTGATACCACGTTAAATCACACCTGTACTGATTATTGTATTGCGTGACAAACATGCCATTATATGACGTAATGATCTCGTGATTTGTAACCTCATGGCACTTTTTGATCTTCGACCTTGTTGTTGAGTTCTTATTACAGTAAAAGCAAGGAAAATCCTATGAAATGCTCTTTTTTGTCCACATGGATCAATGTCGTCTTACATCGGAGATATGTTTGCGAAGAAAAAAGTGAACCAGCGACTTGGGCATCGTCGCTACGTAAGTGGTCTGATCGAGGAGGCGAATGGCCTTTTGAAGACTACGACTCTTCAAAGGAATTGAAGCTCAAACAAGTGGAAAAATCTATCGAAAATCGAGCAAAGATCATCAGTAGTCTAGACGAAGATATTCTTAATGACTAAAATTACGGAGGAAACCTCAATTCTAAAGGAAATTCAGGATGCTGGAAAGTTCTATAAAGGAATCGACGAAATTCTTGCAAGGATTGCCGCCATTTTGGCGCCGAAGAAATACATGACGAAACTCCAAACTCTTCAAATTCTACTTCTTCTGGCAGTTTATCGAGGGGGAGTCATAAGAGGTGATTCAGGACCTATAGTAGTTGACACTCACCTGGGATGGGTCTTATCTGGCCCAACATTTTCTAAGAATTCACATACAATGTCTAATAGTGTTATGCAGAAGAAGCACTAGACAACCTCTATTTTCAACTAAACAAGTTTTGGTCTTTGGAATCCATGGGAATTCTGCCAAATGAAGAAAATGAAGTTCACCGGAAATTCTTAAATGACATTCATTTTAATGGAGAAAGGTATTCTGTGAAACTACCAACTTCAGTCAAGCTAGTAGGAGCTTTATTATCTCGTTTATGACAAGATTCAGAAGTTATGAAGGAGTATGATTCAGTAATAAAGGGGCAGCAGTCTAAAGGCATCATTGAAGATGTAATGGATATAGGAGATCCTGGCAAGGTACATTATATTTCACATCACTGCGTTATCCGCAAGGATAAAAGCACAACCAAGCTAAGAGTCGTATACAACGCATCATGTAAAACTCAAGATATATCACTGAATAATGTGCTGAATTCTGGACCGTGTCTACTTCCAAATCTCTTTGACATGATGTTAAGATTCCGTTGTCACAATATTGCTTTAATTGCTGATATTGAAAAGGCATTTCTTCAAGTTGAAGTGGATAAAAACCATAGAGACTTTCTTAGATTTCTATGGGTGAAGGACATTTAAGACAGCATAAACCTGAAATATTGTAAAAAGGATGATCAGAGTTTTGTTTGGAGTTACATCATTACCATTCTTGTTAACTGCAACACTGCAGCACCACATCTCGAAGCATCAGCACACAAGCATCTCAGACGAGCTTCTGCGATCCTTCTGCATTGATCTGGAGCAAATACTATTGAATATGCGTATGATCTTTACCAAATGTCTAAACAGATCTTGAAGGAAGGTGGACTCACTTTACAAAAGTGGTCCTCGAACTCTAATGAACTGATGGAACGGATTCACAAGGATTTTGAGAAGATCAGCAATGATACGCATGATACTTCTGTAGCGGAAGAAGATTCTAGCTATGCCAATCTGATTCTCGGAAGCTCAAAGAAGGAAATCCATAAGGAACCAGAACAAAAGGTTTTAAGCTTAGTGTTGAATCCTATGTTTGACCAAATTGTTTTCCGATTTCAGGAACTTGCTGAAACAGCAGCAAGACTTGAACAACCAAAACGAATTGTTTTACGAATTATCTCAACCATCTATGATCCAATCGGATTTCTATCACCCATTGTTATATGAAGTTACTCTTTCAGGAACTGTGTCTTGATCAACGGGATTGGGACACCCCACTGTCAGATGATTGTGAAAGAAAGTGGAAGAAGTGGATTGAAGATCTCAAGACTTTAAGTGAAGTCAGAGTAAATCGTTATTGTGTAATTGAGTCTTGCGTCTCAATTGAACTGCATGCTTTTTGTGATGCGAGCATGAAGGCCTAAGCAACTTTCATTTATATACGTATTGAATGCAAAGGTGAGATAACTACATCACTGATTGCGTCAAAGACACGTGTGGCACAATTGAAACCTCAAGGCATTCCTAGATTAGAACTGTTAGGAGCACTGTGTTCTGCACGTCTTGTGTCAACAGTTAATGAAGCTCTTACACCAATTTTGTCAATCGCAAGTGTCACATGTTGGACAGATTCAATCACTACTCTTTATTGGAATTTTGGAACTGATAAGGAATTCAAGCAGTTTGTTGAAAATCGTGTACAAGAAATCACAAATCTCACAAACTCAGGAAACTGGCACCATATAAGCGGAATTGAAAACCCAACTGATCTACCATCTCGTGGTGTTACACCGTGCAATATTGTTAATGCTTAGTTATGGAGGCATGGACCAAGGTCAAGGTGGCTATAAGAACAAAAGAACTGCTGGCCAAAGATAAACACTGAAGTAGATGAAATATCAGAAGCTGTTCTAGAAATGAAAAAGGAGGAAATAAAAAGAAATTGCTACGTTACTTTCAACCAATTCAACTAAAACCAAAATTCAACGACTGTTCGAGCTATGGCATTACGATTTGTAAGTAACTGTAAGAACATGTCAAAGAATGTCATCACTCTAACAGGAACCATTACTGCAACAGAAATGCAAAATGCTGAAATGCCGTGGATTTTAACTGTGCAACGATCAAATATATGACAACTACCTTCTACGTTGCATGGGAATACTGGCAAATGCAAGTTTGACAGACTCTGTTAAATATATGTCTACAGGGAACATCCATTTACACTGATATGTTGGAAATGATTTTGCTGGACCAATCTATTTCAAAACTGGAACAAACGGTAACATTGAAATGTCTAAGAGTTACATTGCACTTTACACTTGTGCTAGCACCCGAGCTGTGCATCTATAGAGCCTGTATCGAACCTAACAGTAAGAGCTCATTCAGAAGATTTGTTAGTCGTCGTGGCATTCCAAGTCTTGCTGTCTCGGATAATGCACTAAGACATTTAAGTCTGCAGAGGCGTAACTTGTTGAGTTATTTGAGTCTCAAGAAGTTCAAGACTATATGCTGTCAAAAGTATCCAATGGAAGTATAGTTTGGAAAAGGCCCCACGGTGTGGGAAGGCTCTTGGGAAAGAATAGTAAGGTGTTCAAAGAAATGTCTAAAGAAGACATTTGGAACCTCTAGATTGTACTATGATGAACTGAGCACTGTCTTGACTGAAGTGGAGGCAGTGTTGAACTCAAGACATCTTACTTATGTATCGTCTGATGAAAAGAACGAAGTTTAGCAAGAATATCTTTTGGAACTAAGACAATATCATAAAACAGTACCAACTCAAGGAAGTACACCTGTCAATCAGCTTGATGATATTGTTTGTGTCCATGATGACAAGCTGCCTCGAAGTCAGTGGAGAACTGCTCGAGTATGTAAAAGAAATCATTTATGGTTTTGATGGTCAACCTCGAGGAGCTGTTCTACAAGTCGGAGAAAGAGAACAGAAAACTTAGATGTTACGTCGCCCCATACAAAAACTCTATATCTTGGAGTCTTCTTCAAGAAAACCTGTTGCTAGAGAAGAACAGAAACCAAACGCAACAAGACCTAGAAGACAAGTAGCTATTACAGGAGAAGTGAAGAGGCGTGAACGTACTGAGACAGTGAACTTTAGAGATTAACGGACTTTTCTTATTCATTGCTAAAATAGTTGAAAATCATTTAATTGTAAATAAGGGAGTGTACTGATTATTGTATTCCTTGACAAACATGCCATTAAGTGACGTAATGATCACGTGATTTGTGCCTCATGGCACTTTTTGATCTTCGACCTTTTTGTTGAGTTCTTATTACAGTGAGAGCAAGGAAAATCCTATGAAATGCTCTTATTTGTCTGCAACTCCAAAGTCACTAATATGGCAATTTTTTCACTGACTTTAGGTTCCGCATGACAATGTATTGTCTTAACCTTGTTCAGATTTGTGTGGTTTGTTTAACAATCTGTGACTTGTGGGAGTGTGGGTCTTTCGACTTTTTGTTTGATTTGAATCTGTGTGTATTTTCTCATACTCTCTTTTTGTACATTACTCACTTGGCGTTTGACGTGGTGTAACACATTGATCTGTTTCCGATGTCTCTCCAGGACCGCAGTCATTCGCTTCTTTATTTTCTGCAGTGACACATCGCCTGGTACGTCGAGCTGGRCAGGTACACGACCAGGGGCCCCACTGACTCAAATGACCATCTTTAAGATAAATGGATTGTTAATTTAATATCATTACATGTATAGACTTCTTTTAACTTTGAAAATCATAACAAAAGATACACAAGAATCAAATTGTTGGCTCTATATATCTGATTTTTTTAAATCCCTTATGTACAGTTGAAATGTCTTTGCACGCAGCGCTGATTGTGCACTGAACTGTCTTTTCAGATCAATTACGAGGAGAGTTTTTTAAGTACTGCAATACTGTAGGGGCATACTTTTAAATCATCAATAGCCATTTTTTAATTTTTTGATCTCAGTACATAAGTTAAAGAATCACAACCAACCGCCGATGGAAATGGTGGACTCGAAAATGGCGGACTCGAAAATGACGGACTCGTAGGATTTCTTATAGTGAGAGCAAATCGTCTTCCATCCTTTCAGTTTGGACAGAAATACCTTTAACTCAGTACCTCACAGCGTACTACACATTTAAACATATGTAGACAACTAACACGATTGMGCCCTGAATTGTGGTTTGTTGTTGAGATTCTTTAAAAACTTTAAGCTGGCAGAAAAGTTCTAACCAAAGATAGAATCAGTAATCACGAGCGTGAAATCGAAAGGGGACGATATGCACCTGTATATACGAAACCCGAAGAAAGGTCCGTTATATTCAAACTTGTACTCTAACTCAGGAAAGAAAGCCCTGTTACATGCAATGAAAACGATTTGTTCCTGCTAGTGATGATTTTACTTTTTTATTTCGTAGAAAGCACCAATTATCAATCTTCTGCTCTGTTCTGTTCTGGTCAACCCCCTTCCCCTCCCCCTCCCCCTCCCCCGAATTGTATTTATATTGGCCAGTCCTTTGCGTACCTCTGCAAGTAAAGCTGTCCCAGGCAAAGTCAGGATAGCAGAATTTATTGGAAGGGCAAGGTTTCGACGAACACCGATTCTGTAAAACAAAATTACATTCATTGTATTTTGACTCAGCAAGTACCAAAAAATTAAATTGATCTTATAATATTGACTCCATTTCTTGAAAATTAGAGAAGTACTTGAAGATTGGTAAAGTAATGGATGGCATGAACTCCTCTTCTATTCCCATTATGAATTGATGATATAAAAAATAATTAAAGATTGATAAATTAATGGCTGGCATGAACTCCTCTTTATGAATTGATAAAAAACTATACAAATATATACAAGTAATAATCCTGAAGAATAACGGGCTCATTACCTTGATAGGGCAGTATTCATGGCCTTCCATGTCTTTAAGAGCATCAGGAAATGTCCAATGATCAGATGAACTCAGCTCGCACGTTCTGTTATGACCATCATTTACTGGACCCAAGTTGTACGAGACACACAGTCCTTCACGAAAACACTGTGTTTGGCATCTGTCCAGGCCTGGTGCCGAGACATTAAGGAACTTGATCACGTACCCAGTAAATGATTTATTACTGTTGCATTTGAGATATTCGAGATCTCTGCAGCCACCATGACCTGTATGTTAATTGGTAATGAAAACATATAAAAAGATTTTTTTACAATCATGCACCTATAACTCGCAGACGTCAAGACGAAATTCCAGATAGATCAGTATTATATAATGTTTCTCAATCACTTGAAAGAGTTGTTCCCAACCCCTTCATTCAATGAAAAATAAAAATACTAATTAAAAACTTCATGCATTTGTTTTAGGTTTTGTGAGCAATGTTGAAATAAAATAACATCTTTGCTACAAATTAATGCGGTACATTATGCACATTTATAACAAAAAGTTGACATTCTATAACTTGATCAAACTCAGATTGGTTTATGCCCTTTCGAACCCTTCCCTCTAACATACAGCTGAACTTCGAACTCGTCTCGTGGTGTGCTTTGTTCTCATCATCACATTTTGACGTCATTTGTATATTTGCTAAAGTACAGAAGCACGGAAAAATGGAATACATTTGTTATAAAAATTCTAAAAATTCAAAATGGCGTTTCTAAAATTGCAATTTGCACCAATAAAAATCGGAAATTATAGTAAATCATTTTATGTCTGCGCCAAACTGCTTGATCAAGCGCCCACCGTCAATTATAAAAAAAGATTTTCTATCATATACTGCTTCCGTTTTTCCTGTTTTTTTTTCTTTTCTCCATTTTCTTTTTCTTTTTCTTTTTGTGTGTTTATGTTGGAAATAATAAGTAATAGCTAGTACGTAGTAATGTTTTTTATGGTCTCGCACATTTATGTTGTCTTCATCACAACATACGTTGCTATGTCCCGCAGTTTGACAATTAACAATCAGAAAAGGAATATTTTTTAGCGGCAAGTTTGTCTTTTTACATCAACTTTTATTTTCAGCCTGTTTGAGTACAAGTCAAAAATAATTCAGTCTGTATCCCGAACCGTTACAATCACTAGCTTGTGGAGAAGAGCGCAACACTTTAACAAATTCAATAAAATTTATTGAGGAAAAATTTGAAACACACGATTTTTGAAGCTTTGACACGGAAGGATCCACACTGAATACTTATACAAAGCTCGACCTCAAACAAGGTGACCAAATGGAGAATATTGTGTGATCCAAACGTATTTTAACTGTTTTTCTATTTGCGGTTCTATTTAAAGTTTTATGCTTTCGGCGATTTCAAAAATTACATTTTTATTTCCTTTTCAACAAAAAGAAGTCAAATATTTTTTTTTGATAACAAAAAAAAAGTTGTGCTATAGAAAATTTTTATTTTTTTAGATATTTTATCAAGAGGAATATATATTATAAATTATTCTGATGGAAATTTTGGAATTAGTATAGCCAGGTCGATTTATTACAATTTTAATGTTAACAACTCACCTTGTACGCTTGGAGAGAGAATCGCCATGACTACCGCGAAATACAATCCACAGGAAGTAAGATAGCTAGTGTATTTCTTCTTTTTCATGATTTGAAATTACCCTGTTACGATATCAACTGTCTCGCCGCCAGCTGAAGAGAATGACTTTGATTAACGTTGAAACACTGAATAACAAGTGTTTTGTCAATTGAATTATTAACCACTTAAAATGATTGTAAATTATTCAGATTCTTGCTAAATGAAGCGTTTTTAGCTGCAATAATGGATGACCAACAATTTATGTAGCTACTCAGTGAAGCTGATTTTTTGATAAAATTCTGGCCCTCCCGAGTCCCGACAAACATATTCCACAACCCACAACATATCTGTGAAATAAAGATGTTTTCATGTAATTGACCGTGCAATTAAAATGTCTATTTAGTAGGTATCTTTGTTTGCTTAATGAACACAAAAGAAAACACATTCAGAGTGGGATACTAGGTAATGTTCAAATGACTCCTATGCGGGCGAATTACTGCCAAAAAAACGTTAAGCAGAAAGGAATAAAATAATTACTGCGAAAAAAAGTTAAGCAGAAAGGAATAAAATAATTACTAGCAAAACAGTTAAGCAAAAAGGAATAAAATAATCACTGCGAAAAAAAGTTAAGCAGAAAGGAATAAAATAATTACTGCCAAAAAAAGTTAAGCA